ATATTTTATTTGAATATAGAATTTAATTTTTTGAAAAAGGAAGTAATTTTTTTTCGATTACAATCTTTTTGATAAATATTATTTTAAGCAGGATGTATGATATAAATTTAAATTTTTTTAATTAACATTTTTTTAATCTAAATTCGGCTAGGATGTAAATTATTTAAGTTATTTTATTAGTTTAAATTATTGAATTTAAGGATTTAGATGTTATAAAAAAATAATTATTTATCATAATAAATTTTAAATTAAATAGCCTGTAATAAATTTAATATTATTTTAATTATATTTTTATTTTTAATAGTTTGTAAAAATATTTATTATATTGTATTTCATAACAAAATAGTACGTAAAATATTTAATAAGTTTACTAATTTTAAATAATTATATGCCATTATTAATAAAGTATGAAGTAAGAAACTTTTTTCAATACATTAAAAAAATTAAAAACAGGATGTAATTGTTAAGTTTTAATATATTTTACTAAGATAAAATTATTAAAACAAATTAGAATGTAAATATATTAATAAATTATTCTAAATTAATAATTAATTTAATATTAGAAATGCGTATATTCTTTATTAATTTAATGAAAAAAAATTAATAGTAATAATTATTTTAAAGCTTTATTTTATTTTTTTTAATTAGAATTATTATTTATTAATTTTTTTGTTTTGATTAAATGATTTAATTATACATAAATTATTTAATAATAACTAGATTTAAATAACTTAATTTGTATTATTATAATAATTATCTTTTTTAAATTTATAAATTTTTAATTTCTCTAAATTCAATTCTTATTTATTAAAAGGTAATAATAAAATTAGATCATATTTTTTTTAATAATTAAACATTTTATTTATAATTTTTTATAATAAATATATTAGAAAGATGTACTTTAATTTTTATTATGTTTCCTTTTTTTTAATCTTAATATAGGCAGTAATTTACTATACTTTTACTTTCTTAACATTATATAACATTTACAAATAAAAAAATTAGAAAGTTAAATATTAAAATTTTAAATTGAAGAAAACATAATTATTAAAAACAGAAAGTAAATAAATATTTAAAATATTAATAGTTAAAACTATTATTATAGATTCCACAAGTAAATCTTAAATTAAATACTTTCTACTCATTTATAGATTACATAAGTAAATTATATTATAAAAGTAAATATATATTTTTATATATTCTATAGATTGTAAAAATTAATAATTTTATGTATTGATATAAACTTTTAAATCATATTTAGTGCGTATAATATTATTAATGTATAATTTCAAGTTTTGAATATATTAAAATAAGGCTGTAAAAAAACATTTTTTAATTATTTTTATATTCACATTATTAATATATACAATAGGATGTATTAATATAATATTTTTAATTATATTTATTAATTATTAAAGAAAAAATTTGTATTTTTTACTATTATTATACAAATATTTGATTTTAAATCAAAATTAGAAAGTTAAGCCTTTATGTAGATCATTTATTAATTAAATATAGGATGTAATATATATTCTATACTTTTTTTAATTTTAAATAAAAATAGGAAGTATTTTTTTTTGAAATATAACTTATAAATGAATAAAATTAGTGTGTAAAATTAATTTTTTTACATAACATTTTTTAGGATAAAATTTTAATAGAACTAAGTAATTTATAATTAACTTTATAAAATTTTATTTAATAAATTATTAAAATCAATATTATATTTAAATAAATATATTATTAAATAATATAATATATATATTTTATATTAAAATTTCTATTATATTATTTTAATAATTTATATTTTATCAATATTTTTAAAAATGAAAAAGCTATTTTAGGTATTGTGTTTTTTTTTAAATTTTAATAATCACAATATTATTAAGGTTTAAAAAAAAATATTACATATAAATTAAAAACAATATTCAGATTAACAATAAGATGTAAATCTTTCCAAATATTTAAATATTTATTAAATTAAATTATATAAAATAATGAAAAGTTGAGAATTATAGAGAACATACAGAAAGATATATATATTAATTAATTTTTTTAAAAATTAAAAAAAAAAAAAAAAAAATATAAATTATTTTTTCTCTTCCTTAATATATATTTTGAAATAGAAAATTATCATTTATAAAAAAAAATTAAAAAATATTATAAATATAATTAATTAGAAAAAATAATATGTGTATATAAATATAAATATATATATATATATATATATATTTTATTTATTTTTTTTTTTTTTTATATAAAAAAAAAAATTAATTTTATTTATTTTTTTTTTTTTTTAAAAAAAAAATAAGAAAAAATAAATTATTTCTTTTCTTCCCTAAAAAAAAATTTAAAAAAATTATCCTTTATAAAAAAAATTTAATTAATTTATTTTTTTAAAAATTAAAAAATTTAAAAAAAATTAAAAAAAAATATAAATATATATATATATATATATATATATATATTTTATTTTTTTTTTTTTTTTTATTTTTTTTATTTTTTTTATTTTTTTTTTTTTAAAATATAATTAAATGTTAATATATTTTTACATAAAATATAATTATAACTCTATTTTTTTATAATTTTTAATATTTTGACAAAAATCTTTTTTTTTCTTTGAATTAGTTTAGTAAGAACATTCAAATATTTGAAATGTTTATATATCTTTTATATAATTTAATTTTTTTTTTTTTTTCTTTATTTTCCTCCAATAAACTAGATTTATATCCTTCTTAAGTTAAATATTTTTCTTTAAATATAATATATTCATTTTTTTTTTAATTAAAATCTCATGAAAGTACTCAGCTCCTAATTTCTCTTAATTTTAACATACATAATCATTTTAAAAATATAATTTTCTCGTCTATAAATATTATAATAAAAAAAAAAAAACTATAAATTATTTTTATTTTAATTGTCTATTTAATTATAATATTATATCTATATTATTAAGAATAATAAAATTAAATTGTGGAATATAAAATAGTAAAAAGGTCTATTTTAATTACATAATAATATAATTTATAATTCTTTCTCTTAAACTTCATTATCTATTAAATATCGGCCGGATACTTTCTTCGTGGAAAAATACTCCTAATAGCCAAATTAATATTATTTTAAAGTTATTAAATATTATCAAAAACCCTCAGTTTCTATAAGAAAGGCTTTATAGAGTATTATAAATGAAAAACTAACGATATATATATTTTATCTAATTTAAAGTCAGTAAATTATAAATCTGCATAAAATTTTAAAGAATTTATTTTAGATAGAAGAATTATTCCTAAGATATTAAAATAAATTATTATTATTATTATTATTATTATTATTATTATTATTATTATTATTATTATTATTTTTGAATTATTTTTACTTAATAAACCAGAAATCAGATGAGATAATATACTTACTTTTGATACTGATATAAAATAACATAATGAGAATATATTTAATTTCTTTTATAATTATAATTTACAATTAATAAAAAACTATTTTAACATAGTTTAAAGCTTTTTTTTTTACGATATTAAATCAAAAATATTTTTTTATGAAGTTGTTTTTATTATTTGTATGATGAATTTAAATATGTGAATTGCTTAAAACTTAAAAAGCTATAATTATTTTATTTTTATAAATGAAAATTAATTTTTAATCAAGGTTGCATTTCTTTTGAATTATTGAGATAATACATAATTTAAAATTAAAAATTGAATTTCTATTAGTTTTTATTTTATGGCTGTTAATTTTTTGGAAAAATAAATATGAAATATTGAAAGGTCTTTGCTATTATTAATTATTTTATATTAATTGTATTATTATTATTAATAAATAATTTTTAATTTATGGTTATTTATTATATTATTTAATCTAATAAAATACTATATACATAATATATATACTTTTTTATTATTATATTAAATTATATATTATATTATATTATATTATATGTTATTATATATTATATTGTATATAAATTAAAAAATTTTAGTAATCTTATAATGCATAAATTTAAAAATATAAATTATGTATTTTTATATTAATAATTATTCAATAAAAATAATTACTTTTAATCTTATTTTTATATAAAAACCATTTTTAATATTAAGATAGCATTATTTATATATATATATATTTATTTAAATTTTATTATATTTACTTTAATATTTTTTAAAAAAATAAAATAATCTATATTAAAATTTCTTATAAGTAAATTTTATATTTTTTATTTAAAATATTTATATATTTAATTAAAAAAAATATATACATATATAAATAGATTTAATGTCAAAGGTATAATTATTATATTAATAATTGCTATTATTTTAATTTTTAAATTTAAGATTTCTTATTAGTTACTGCTACTTATTTTATTTTCATATCTATATTAGTCTTATAGCATAGTATTATATTTAATTTAAATGATAATTAAATTAATTTAATTTTTGTTTTTAGAAAAAAATAAATAAATATATAAATAAACTAATAAAAGTTTATATTTTTAATAATATATATATATTTTTAAATAAAAAAGTGCGTAAAATTATTTCTAATAACATTTTTTTTCATAAAAATATTAATATTTGATTCATTATTATTAGGTAAAACAATATTTTATTTTTAAAATTTTATATCAATTATTTTATTAAAAAAAAGGATGTAAAAAATATTTTCAATTATAGTAAATATTTAAAAATTCATAGTGCGTAATTAATTATTTATACATATTAAAATTTATAAAATATATTTGTATATATAAAAATAGTAAGTAATTTTTTTTTAACAAATTAAGCAAATTAATTTATTAGTATGTAATACAAATAATAATTTAATTTCTAATAAAAAAAATTAAAATAAAGGGAGTAAATTATATGTTTATTAGCAAAAACAAAGCATTTTTTTAAAAAAAACAAAAAAGGATGTAAAAATTTTTAAGATTTAAAATATAAAAAATAAAAAGATAGTAAATATATTAAAAAAAAAATAATAAAATATTAAATAAAAAAAGTGTGTATAAAAAAATAAAACGATTAAAATAAAAATAATTAAATATTTTAAAGTTAGTATGAAAATATTATAATATTAAATAATAAAATGATTTTTAATAAAAGCTCGTAATATTAAAAAAAAAAAAATATATTTATAAATAATAAAAAAATATAAGTGCGTATTATTAATTTCAAAATTTATTTTTATACTAAATTTTGATTTTTAAATAGGTAAAAATAATAAATATATAATAAAATAATAAATTTAAATAAAATTTGATAGAGAGTATTTAAAAATAAATAATCAAAAAGAAATTGTTTAAATAAAATGTAGGTTTCTAATGTAAAAAAAATATTAATTTAAAATAAAGACTAAAAAATAATAAAAAGTGTGTAAATATATAAAGAAAGTCAATTATACAAAAAAAAAAATAGAACGTATTTATTAAAATAAAAATATATCTTAAAAATAATTAAAAAAAAAGCAAGTAAATATATATAGAGATACTTTTAATTAAGATAAAAATTAATAAAATTTTTTATTATAAATAGTAGGTAATAATAAATAAAAATATTTTAATTAGGATTAAAAAAAAATTAATAAAAAAATAGTATGTAAATAATATATAAAATTAATTTTTTTATTTATATTTAATATTATATAAAAAATAGGTTGTAATATTAAATAAAAATAGTTTTTAGTTTAATATTATCATTTTATTTATTTAAAAAAGTCAGTAATATAAAAAATAGCATTTATAACTTAATTTTATCAATTTTTATTTAAAATAGGGAGTAATTTTAGAAAATTTAAAATTAATTTTTTTTATTTTATATTAAAAATAGTATGTATTAAAAATATAATCAATTTTTAGCATAAAATTAAATATTGTTAAATAAAAATAGTTCGTAATATAATATGAATTAGAGTTTTTAGTTTAAATTTTTTAATTATATATATAAAAAATAGAATGTAATATTAAATAAAATGCAATTTAGTTAAAATTTATCAATTTTTTTTTAAAATAGTTTGTAAAAATATAAAAAAAAATTAATATTAATATTAATAAATAAAATTATTATTAAAATAGGGAGTAATTTAATTCATTAAAATATAAATTAAAATTTAAATTATATATTTACATTAAATTAGAATGTAATATAAATTTAAATTAATAAAAAGTTCAAATTTATTAAAAATAGTATGTAATATTAAAATATATATATATATTTATTTATTTATTCATTTATTTATAATAGTATGTAATATTCAATATAATTACATTTTTAGATTAAATTTTTAATTTTTATTAAAAAAAGTATGTAATAATTCAATAAAAAGCATATTTTATTTTAAGATTTAATTAAAAACAGGATGTATATAAATAAATATCATTTATATCGTAAATTTATATTTTTTATTTAATTAGCCTGTAATATTAAAAATAAAAATGGAGTTTAAATTTATTAATATTTATTAAAAAAGTTTGTAATATTAAATTAAATTTGCAATTTTTATTAATAATATATATATTATTTATAAAAAAATAGGATGTAATATTATACAAAATATCATTTTATTAATTTTTATTTAAAGAACGTTGTAACATAATATAAAAAAAATTAAATTTAAATTATTTAAAATTTTATATAAAATAGTAAGTAAAATTAAATATTATTTTTATCAAATTATTGTCTAAAAAAGATATCTGTAATATAATATAAGATAGAATTTAAAATTAAAGTTTATAAAATTTATATTAAAAATAGAAAGTAATATCAATAAAATAATAGCAATTTTTTTAAATTTATTATTAATAATAGAGTGTAATACTAAATAAAATAAAATTTTTATATACAAATTATCAATTTTTATTAAAATAGGGAGTAATATTTAATAATATAGATATAGCCATTTTAAATTAAATGTATAAAATAGACAGTAATATTAAATAAAATACATATAAATAAATAAATTTATATTTTTTTTAAATAAAATTAGATGGTATTATTAAATAAATTGTTATTAATTTTAATTTTTTATTTTTAAGTGTGTAAATATTAATATTATAATGCTTTTATTTCATATATTTAGAAAGTAAATACAATTTAATATTTTATTCATTTATAATTTAAATAGTTGAAAGGTTTAATTTATCTCTTAATTATTAATTATCATATTTTAATTAAAATTATTTAATTTAAAATAAAAAGTATGTATCGCTTTAATCTATTAAATTAACTATTTTATTTATAGGATGTTAAGTAAATAATTTTTTTGTTTGAATATATTATAATTAAAATAATTTTTTAAAATTTTATTATAATATATAATTATTATTAAAAGTTTTATTTTATCATTTGACATATTATATTTCTTTTAATTAGGAAGTATTTATATATATATATATATATATAAAATATTTAATATTTTTTAATTATTTTTTAAGCACAAAGTAAAATATAAAAAAATATATGATTATAATTTTTATAATAGCCTGTAATTTTCCTGATTTTTCTTATTTAAATTTTCAAATAGATAGTAATATTTAATTCTTATTATTATATATAATTTTAATAACTTAATAGTGCGTACTTATATTTTATTTTTACTTTAAATCAAATTTTTATTTAGGAAGTAATAAATTTATAATTTATTTAATTTAATTTTATATTTAGTAAGTAATCTTTTATTTTACTTTTTCTTTTGACTTAATTAAAATATTTAGTGTGTATTAATGAAATAACAATTTATAAATAATAAATCTTTTAATTATAAAATAGAGAGTAAATTTTATATATAAAAATATATTTTTTGTAAAATAAATTTAATTTCATGTAAACATTATTTTTCAAAATAAAGTCAACGGTAAACTTAATTTTATGATTATGAGATTTTATAAAAATACAATTAATATAGATTAATGTAAAAAACTAAAATATTTATATAATTATTTCTAATTTATATATTATTTTAATTTTATTAAAATTTTCTAATACGATTTTGAATAGTCTACAGTTTACTATTTTTTTTTATTAATTATTTATATATTTTTTTAATTAATTAAAGGATGTATTTTAATAAAAAAATAAAATAAAATAAATAAATTTTATTTATGATCAAAAAGAAAAAAGTAAAATTTTTTAAATTGATTAATTTATTTAAATGTTTTTAAAAAGACAGTTAAAATTATAATTTTTTAATAAATCTAATAATAATATTTGTTAAATAGTGTGTAAATAAATTTTATATTTTGAAATATATTTATATAATATTTTTTATTAATCTAGTCTGTAAATATAATATGTATTATTATTTTTTAATTAATAACAGAATGTAAAATTAAAATCTATACCTAAATATATAAACTAATATTAATAGGAAGTATAATTATATTTTAATATTTTATAATTATTATATAAAAATTATAGTGTGTACCATTTTTTTCATTTTTTTAAAATATAATAAAATATCTAAAGCGTGTAAAAATTATTAATAAAAAATTACTAACCTATTATTTATAAAATAAGGATGTAAATTAATATTATATTGTTTATAATAAAATTATTCATTTTTTATAAAAGTGTGTAATAAAAATTCTATATTATTTAAATTAATTTTTGAAATTGTAGAATGTAAAATTATATTAACATTTTAACTAATATATTTAAATCGAATTTATCATAATAATAATAATTTTTATAATTATAGATTGTAAGCACTTTAAAATATTTTAGCTAGTTTATTTTTATTCAATTTTAGTTAGTATTATTTTTTTAATTTTAAAATATTTATATACTTATTTTTATAAAAAGTTAGTAAAAAAAATATAATTAATTAATTGTTAATTCTAATAAACTTATTATTAATAGACAGTATGAAAAAATAAATTATTTTTTTTTAAAATAATTTTAAAAATACTTTAATTTAGTCAGTAAATTTTATATTTATTATTTTTATAATTACTATAATTTATCATAAGGGGGTCATATTATTATTTAAGTTTATAATTTTATTATTTATATATGATACAGACAGTAAATTATATTGACTATTTTAAATTATTATTTTTGTTAAAAAATAGTATGTAAATATTATATTGATCATAATTTTAAATCATAAAAAAGAAAGTAAGAATAATTTTACTTATTAATATTTAATTTTATGTATATTTAATATAAGGATGTATAAAAAATTATATATTTTATTTTATTGAAATCATATTAATATTAGGATGTAGTTTTTAATATATATACTTTTTTATTAATATTTATATATTAATAGAGTACAGGGGTTTTAGTTTTAAATTATATTTATTTAAATTTTCTGAATCTAAATTAATTAGGCATTTGTAATATTTCTGATAATATTTATATGAATTGCATACATATTTTTTAATTTAAAAAAGATAGTAATATATAGAGCAATTTTTTATATTTTTATTTATTTAATAGTGCGTTGAAATTAATATTTATATATAATTTTGTCAATTTAACATTTATTTGAATTATAGACTGTAATATTTTTAAGTATTTTATTATTTATTTATGATTTAAATAGAGCGTAATAATTTTTATTAACTTTAATAATTTAATTAAATTAGAAAGTAATTTTTTTTAAATATTAATTTATTAATTTTTTAATAAAGCAAGTAGATATTTAAATAAATATTTTGTTTCATAAAATACTTTTAAATAGACAGTATATCTTTTTTAAATAAGCTTATTTTAATCTATATTTAAATTTTAATAGGATGTAAATTATTTATATTTTTTATTATTTTTAATAATAAATTTTAAGGAAATCGATGTTAAAAATT